AGACAAAAAGTAACACAACAATGAGGATGTGAAAGAGTGAAAGCTTTTAAAATGAGCTTGAACATGACAGTCTTAAAGCCTAATATACTGAGCTGAGCTGGTTCTGATGAAGCCAGAGGAGGTGAAAATGCTTTCTCTAGCTAAGGCTTTATCCATAAAGACAGGCTATACAGATTGTTCTCTACAAATAAAGGCAATTCCTTGGAAGCCTCAGCTACAGCATTCCCTTACTAAGGGTAACATTTGCCAAGTGACTCAAGTGTCTACACCACCAGTTTGAGTTCATTCTTACTTTGCCCCAGGGCTCTGGATTCCTGATTTTCCATACCATTCATGCCCTGCTTTTGGCAGCAAAAATTTTGGTCTATTATTTCCCTCCAAAAGGAAATGCTGGCACCGATGGCAGAGAAGCCAAGTCTAGTCAGGTCACATTGGATGTGTAATTCCAAGGCTTGGGCTCCTGTTTCATGGGACTGCTATTCAGCACAGCCCTAGAAAGCCTTCTTCCCTCAGCAGCCCTTTACAAATCTTCAGACAGGACCTCCCATGACACTCCACCTTGCCCTCAGATATGAAAACGCAGTCCCAGCAGACAAATCTTTGTACTGGCATTTAGAGATCTACGTAACTTCTGAAGACGATATAGACAGTCAGGTTTGGAAGCTGTCTTTTTGCACAATGATGAATTTTGAATTTGCCTGCTCAAGATTTCTAGGTCTTAAGCTCTTTGGAAGATGCTTCTTCTTATTTAAAATTGCTTTAATATATCTGCAGTGCTTATTATCTCTTTTGTCTTCAGCAGGACAAAGAAGGAGGAAGTCAATTACCTCCCTTTGAAAGCAAGGGACATGCCAAACTCCTTTGTTGCTGTGTCTTCCATGGTAATATGTAGGGTTCTTCACCTTCTCTACTCAACAGGAAAAAGCACTAAGCAGTTCAGTCAACAAAAATCCTTCTTCTAGCCCGAATCTCTATATGCTTTTATTACACAAGATTTAGTATACATATGTACTCACCTGTGGGTCTTATTTCAGGTGTTCCTACCCAAACACTGGTGTCTAATGAAGCAGCAGCCATATGTCAGATTACAGGCAGGCGACAGAAAGTTAATCATGCAGCTTTGAGCCACTCTTCTGCTACTCACTAATCAACCTCCTTAAGACTTAAGATAATTGGCCCAGCTGCAACTCCTTAGGGGTAAGATTACTTTCTACACTATCTTTATTTTCTTATATTCTATCCCCCTACAGCTAGTTAAAGCACACTTGCTTATAAGCAAGATGTGAAAGAATCAACCTTCCATCTATACCAAGGGTACATAGCAGTGTTCAAATTAAATCATTACTTGGAGCAGCAATGGAAGGATCAAGATGCTTTAAGAGTTGCAGTTGTAAGAAAGAAAGCATTTACTTTAGCAGCTGACAACGTACAAGTATGCCGAACAAGCAAAAGAATGCTACCTATATTTATTCACTCAAGGCCTGCGTCGTGATTCTTTATGGTAGGGAAGCAAGAGAAAGATTGTCTCAGACAACTGTTAAATTTAATCTTACTATGTAGTTGCAGAACAGTATAGGGATATTAAAGTTAATTGTCTATAGTAGTTAAAAGGGAATTTTAGAGACCTACTGTCTCCCATCAGACTGGACTTTTCAGAAATAAGTGAATGATAGTATATTAGTGCAATTTTTCTTCTAGTGTGTATATATTTTTTTATTTGCTGGAGAACAAGAGTATGTGCTGGGAACAATTATGGTACTATGCAACTTCCAGTGCCTGAAGGAAGGCTTAATTTATTTTAAAATTGCCTTCTAAACTATCCATTTGTTTAATCATAACAAATCTGGAATGTCCTTCTTCAACAGCTGAACACTTGGCTGAGGATATGTGGGTCATTACCTCCTCATTCTCTAATGTAAAGGCAAACTGGCAGCCTGCTTGGGATTTCCTGGTACTCTTAAAGATATCCAGAAATATCCTTCAAAAACCTTTCAGAAGGATATTTTCCTTCAGAAACCATACTGGATCCTGTTGGATTTTTCTGAAACTCAGGTCATAGCTCATGTCAGTGCTTAGTTTTTAACAGTAGGCATGAAAAACTATGCTCAAATACCTAGACTGTTGTTTTATTTACATACAGTAATGAGTAAAAAGCCCAAACTCATACTCTAGATTCTTGTGTACCCTGGAAAACTATTCACAAACCTTTAATTTACTTCTCTTGGACTGCAATTTCAGCCATTTTGTGATGGGATGGAAACTTTTTTTTTTCCCAAACACGGCCAAATGGCATTTTTAGCTCTTTCAGTGCTCTCACAGCTCTCATTCTACTGAAATTACAGTGTTAGTCTGGATTTCCATTGCTGTGATAGCAAGCAGATCCTGTCTGCCAGTGTACAGAGAGACTCAACAGACTGAAATATGAATGGAAAATGGGGCAAGAATAGAAGTCAATACTGCCTGAATTAATTTTACTGCAGAACACCCTTGGGTAATGCTCAGGATATAGAAGGAGAGATACTTTGAGAGGTGGAAGAATAATGAAAATTTAAAAGTGAGGGCATACTGACAGAGATTTTCACATTCTTTTTTCCTAGATAAACTTTTATGTGGTTTGTCCTAAGTACAAGATGGTTTGCTGAAAGCTAAAATATCTTCTTCCTCTGCCCTCAGGATAATTTTGGCAAAAGAAATAGATCACACATGTGAAGTGGTGAAGCCAAGTATCTAAGTGATTGGAAACTAACTGTTTAAATTAGAGGAAGAGATGCAATTTTGAGAAGGAAAGGACCCATACCCTTGGGAACACGAGAGTTTCAAAGTCCTAGAAAATCAAGAAGTGCAGATGAGCCAAAAGCTATCTGGGGGAAGAAAAGCACCTTTCCTTACTCCAGAGATCAAAGAAGAAATGATTAGGCAAAACTAAAATCACAACTAAAAAAAGATTCTCTGAAAAGGGCAATTCATCAACACAGAGAGAAATGATCCATCACAGCTTGGTCTCCAGAGCCACAGTGGATAATTGCCCAGTGGCCCCTCTTTCCTCTCCTCCATTCCACCAGTCCAGTCCCTGTTTGCACTCAGTGCCATGGTATGTCCTCACAATGGGAGAGGCACATGATGAGCAAAAAGGGATGAAAAGGAATAAATGGGACCTCACCTAGAGAGTGCACACTGTTCCCTCAGGTTTTTGTTAATGGTACTCTTAGAGCAGGATCTCTTCCTGCACAGCTGTTTCCATAGTCTGGTTTCCACCTGAATGGTGTCCCTTTGCCAATGACAGGGAAATGAATGGCACTATCTCTCTCTCTGCAATCTATTCTGCTAATTCTGTAATGAGGGTAAAAGGCACTCCTTGTGTATTTCCAGTCCATATCCCAAATACAGAAAGGATCTGACAGCCAAGATGCAGATTATGTAAATTGAGTTACCAGAGCCAGAAGATGCTACCAGAGCCAGCAGTGGGTTTTCATCTCTGTGACACAATTCAGCAAAAAGGTACTGAATTTTGTAACTTTTTTGAGGGATTCTCACTACAAGTTAAGCAGAGACTATTTCATTGGTAACTGAAGTTACACTCATATGACTAAAAAAAATGTGTCAGAATATTTATCTAAATACAACAAAAGTAGGCTAAGAAAGAGAGAATCTTATTTTTTTCTCTTTTGTATTTTTAAAATAATTTGAGGGAATTCCAAAACTTTGAGTGTTGCAGGCAACTAACACTGATTATGAAACAAAAGAATATTGTTTAAATTTCTAGACTGCAGATAAATATACCAGCTGAGGCTGTTCATAAATTGCATTTGCAATTTCTGATAAAACATGGTCTAAAGGCTTCAGGTACTAAGGGATAGGAAAGAATAGTACATGGTTCTTCACCTCTCTCTATAACTGCCCAATTTTCTTGAAAGTTTTCCTGCTAAATGCCTTCCCTTTCCTCTCAAATAAATCAAAGATAGGGACAGGCATTGATACGGTTAAATATTTCTACTTTGGCAAGTAGAACCACTACTATACTACTTTGTATAACTACAAAATAAACAGTTAATAACCAGAGCTCCTCACAGTTATAAATGCCATCACCTGGCTCTCACAACGTGCTCTTGCAAGGGAGGAGGTGACACTGAGCTTGCAGAGCAAAGGAAGAGAGAATGTTTACCTGATGAGCTCAAGAAAAACCTTTACATAAGGCAGCCTCCATGAAAGCACTGACTGAGCAATGTGCTTGCTGCATGCTGCCTTTACTCTAGATGTTAACTGGATTACAGTTGCACTCATCATAAACTGGGACGTTTTTCAAAATGTGAAGGTATTCCAGATCACTTATTTCCTGCATTATTGGCTCTGCATTCAAGGCAACAAGCAGATGCAGAGAAATTACTATGAACAAAAAACTGCCCAAAAATGTCAGTGTTGCCAGGGGCTGGGAAAACAGGCAGAAGCAACATGGCAGGCCAAGAGAGGAAGATTTCTGCTCCTAGGAGTGAGGAAAGGTGAAGGTTCCTGAGCACACAACTTCCTGAGGGGCCAGATCTGGCCACCAGGAACTTAGAAACTGGTGTTTGCATCTCCCGTCATGATGGAACCAGTATACATGTGTATGTACTCTTGGTAAATAAAGAGCACTGCATCTCTGGGGAATTCCATTCCTCCCTCACAGGAGCAGCCTTGCGGAGCTGCTAACATAACCACTCCTTGCAATACAGGGCTGGCAGTCCCTTCTTGAAATGAAGGCTTCCAGCACTTTTAAAGCATTACTGAGCTTCGCAGAGGTAACTTCCTAAGACAAAAATCATCAAACAATTAAACTTCCTGTTCAAGCATTGCCGTTACAGTTTTACTTGGCAGTGTACCACGTGCTGCAGAGAGAGGTTGTGTGAGCACCTGAGGGTGCAGCCCGGCCACACAGGGAAGGCAGGCTGGTGCTGCGGGGCCCTGGGAGTCGCGGCAGTGCCTGCAGGGGGTGGAGACAAGGCAGCGGGCCCACCATTAACACCATGCTCCTGGGGATCCTCGTGGTGCTCTTCTTCATCCCCACTGCTGATGTAACAGGTAACAAAAACCCCCCACATTTCAATCCTTTCCCCTATTTTTTTCTCACTTTGAAGGTCTGGGAAAGGGGAGAGGCAGCATGCTGCAATTGGATCAATTTGATATAACGAAGAGGCCAATTTTTCTCCTGCCAGAAGTATCCCTCCAAGATGAGACCCAAGAGCTTTCTTTTAATTTGACTTCTCTCTAGATCCATTTGGAAATTGCATGCATAAGTAGAGGGGTGTTTATTTCACCTACCCCTGGGTTTAGCAAGTTCTGCTCACGAGTGCCTTTTCTTGGGGGCAGCAGGTCTGAGCAGACCTGGCGCCAGCACCTCACTTGGGGCAGACTCTCCACATCCCCAAATCTACTTCTAAAGCTTTAGGCTTCCCCATGGCCTGGCTTGGTGTCATGGGCTCCAGTGCTGAGTGCAACAACATCCTCACAGGTTCAGCAAATAAATGCTCTAAAGGAGAGTTGCTTACTGAGCTCAAAGGTGGAAGGATGGGACTTGCCAAGTTTCTGATTTTTGCATTGTTTAGCAGTTTACCAATACTAACTAGACGTCTAGTTTCTTTCTGAAGATCTTCAGGAAAAAGAAAAAAACTTTTTGAGATTTTGAAATCCTGAATCTTAGTGAATCTTCCTGACTCTTCAGTTGTTGTGCTGAGGGTATTTATCTTGGTGTTGGCTTGCTGATGTAGTGTTCCTATGTTCAGACCTAATACGTCTTTCCAATGGGTACATTGCAGGCAAAGCAAGGCAAGAGATGCTGGCTTTTGCTAGGATCATCTTGAGACAGACAATTTTTCAGACTGCTGGCTGTGAACTTCTCCAAATATAAGTGTTTTGTATTTTCCAGGGAAGTTACAAATAGGAATTAAAATCTGGTTTCCAGTACAAAATTTAGAACATAGAGAACATCTTACAACGTCACTTTTTCTAGTATGAGAGATGTAACTGAATATATTTTTTTCTTATTTCTATATTATTCTTCGGTAATTCTTTTCCTTAGTGAAGGCATTGTTGTTTGCATGACACTGTGATACACATTTTTTAAGAAATCATAGGGGTTTTTTTCCTTGTCCTTTCCCATATTTATAATTCTGTGTTTGCAATATCATAATTATTTCCAGAGCAGGCCCCTGGATTGTAAAAGAAGACACTAATTCCAGGAGGGGATAAGAATCAGCAGTAGGTTAACAGTTCTGAACACATTTCCATGAGTTGTGAACAGCTTTTAAGCAGTGCTTTTGAATTGCAACAAAATAAATCACAGTGTGTGGTTCTCAGACACAGGTGTTATACCATGGCTTTATAGACACACATACACTTGCTTTGCATGAAGACCTTGTGTTTCTCCAACAGATTCACCAAGATTGTACAACTTCTTAAAGAGAAGCACATGAGGTCATATGCTTCTCAGGGCTCTCATCCTTTCCCCATCTATTTTCTTCACTCTTCATTTTCAAGATAAGTGGTCCTTAGTACGTGGAAAACATTAAGGCAGGTCAAAACCCTGCAGGACTTCCTCAAGCCAAGCGCACTATAAGCACTATAAGTATTTTGGTTTGGGAAAATCCACAGAATTCATCCTGTTGTTAGACTATACCAGTGGCTGCTGCAGGTTGAGTTTAAATCATAAAAAAGGACTTGAAATACTAGTTCAGTCATTTCCCTTTTGCAGAAACACTAACGTTTGCAAAGTTGGTCCTCCTCCCCTTTTTGTTGGCTAAATAATTACCTTGCTGTGGACTGTCAGAGATGCAGCTAGATCAAAGATCAAGTGTCTGGTATTTTGTGAAATAAGTAATATAAGGAGGTTCCCATTGCAGTGTACCACAACTGACCTCATCTTTTTACTATCCACATAACCTTCTGGCTTACAGGTTCTGGGGGTTAAAACCAACTTCTAACCTACCCAGATTACCAGAATGAAAAAGATGGATGGATATGAGGCAAGGTTAGCTGAGAGTAGGATGACATCAACTAATTCCTGTTTTAAAAAAACAAATCACAAACTGCCAAGAAAAACCCCTGTGCTCACACTGGATTTGATTAAAGGAAGAGTGTCACCTGGGCTTTCAGAGTGTCAGCTGGGGAGAGGTTCCCCCCAGCTGCCCATCACACAGCTGGGTGGCCTCAAACCAAAGTACAAGAGAAGGAACCTTGTATCTGGGAAAGAAGAGTAAGCATAATTGAACAACAAACCAGCAACAGCAAAAACAAAATAGCTTTGTTTATAACATACCTGTGTGCCTTTCTGCCTGTGGCTTAAACAAATTCCTTTCAGTTTTTTCATTTAGGTTTTTCCCTATTCCCCCAGGGAGTTAGGTGGGCTATTTTTTTCCTGTGCTTACAGAAATGCCAACTTATTTTGGATACTTTGCTCTGGAAAATAGCTTCTTGAAGTCAGCTGGCATAAAAAAGGAAGAAGTGCACTAAATATTTTAGCAGAATATTTTTTTCCAATAGCTGATGATGATTCATGAAGAGTTCTGGTGAAAAAAAAAAAGCAACACCTCAAAATAGTTATTTTCCATACTTTGTCAACTCTATTTCACTTTCTTGGCGAATAGAAAAAAAAAGCTTCAATGAAGTTTTGCTTGCATTGGGTTCAATGATCAGAGAGTCAGTATTTTACAGATATTATAGATGGATGGCATTTTGTTTCATGATCCAAAACCCCCTCACATGTGATTACAAGAAATATTCAACACTATAAAAAGCTTAACAAGCATTCAGAGATCTTACACACCATTGCATATAAATCCTAAGATCCTGAGAATGCTTGCAGCCTGTGTACACTGACTGAAATGATTTTACATTTTTAAAGTCACTGCTTTTTGAAACTGTAAACAATTATTTTTCATAACTGATGTTTTCTTGGCTGGGTAAGGCCAAGATACAGGTATTTATTACTACACAGCATGGCTGAACAGAGCTCCGAAGTGGCAATCATAACCCTACTTAGGGGAATGGAAACACTAACTAAATGTTTCAGAGTTTCACCATTTAACAAACCCAAAGTGACACTTAGAAGGAAAAACTGTCTCTGTGAAGGCAAAAGCAGCCTTAGCCCATGTTTGCTTGGAATGGGCTAGATCCTACTAAGAATGTAGTCAAATCCTATTCAGATCATCCGGGAAGTGAGGGATGTTAGGCATTACTCTGTCATCCCTATGAAAGTAACACACATTTTAGTATGACTGACTTTCTTCAATTTAAAATAACCTCCAAGTCCAGAGGAGGAGGATGACAGCAGGGCTTCTCCAGCATGCCAGTGGGGTAAGCTTGCCTTGCCCCTGTTAGCATTGCAGCCCAACCAATTCATGTGGTGCTAATGAGTTCTTCCTATAAATGAAAACAAAAATATCTCCTTCAATTTGAACTGATTTGTGAAAGTAGATTTGGGTGCTTAGCTTCAATCATGTAGGAGCTGTCTTCATTTAATGACCCACAAATGAGCATTTCCCACTGCTCAGCCAGTCTCCATCCCAGCATCAGCAGCACGGAGCTGGGTTATCAAGCCTAGCCTGCAACACAAGGCAAGCAGAGTGGATTATAAATACAAGAGGTGAAAATAAGTTGAAGAAATTTATCATTTTAGTTAAGTGTATCAAAAGAGACTAGTTGCCAATTAGCACTATGTCATGGCAGGGACATAAATAGTCCAGAGCTGTAGTTAAACAGTGGAGTTCAAGGCATGAACTCGCAGGTCTAAACATCAGGAATACAGGTTAGCTGATGACACCAAAAGAGAGGGGGATAAGTCCTAGGATCTGCAGAAGAGTCTAAATAACATCTGAAGGCAGTCCCTCAGGGATGGGATTTTCAGTGTTCTCTGACTTTCCTCTGGCGACAGAGAAAATATGATGAGGCTGAGCAATAAATATCCATTAGTTTTCTGTAAGTACTAGCAATGAAAACAGGCAAGCATTTTTAAGTGTAATGCTTCTGTCTGTTCTGGGCCCCTATTTTGGCTGTCAACTCTGAGACAGAAAAGGTCTCCCCTGAAGGTGTATTCAGGTGTATTCCCTGTGACAGTCAGGATTGTAGTAGTGCACAAATACTGCAAAGCAATAGAATAACTCTGTCTCAAGTGAGATGTGTAGAATTAAGCTCTGCTAAAGGTGGGAAAATTCTACTGCAGACTTGCAAACTGCCACACAGGCTGAAGATCAATTTTCTCGCCAACAAAAACATGATCAAATACCTTGTCTAAAGCAGTGGAATCCAAACCTCACCCCTTACTAGAATGCCTTATAAGCCTATGTGAGAGCTTTTGTCAGAAAATGCTGATTCAAGGAAACCAAATTGTTTTGCTGAAATGTCTTCATTTTGATGAAAACTCACCACAGGCACCACCTTGAGTAAAGACTTGCTTTCTTACTCTCTTACTTAGCCACTCTGTCCTAGGATTCAAAGATCCTTGTCTCTTTCTATTGGAAAGCCTGGAAAGGTTATCCTTCAATCAAAGCTTCACAGTGTTTTGGTTGCCTGGACATGGAATTTCAGAGCTGTTATGAGCTCTCTTCCCTCACTAACAGTGCTGAGCAAAGAGATGCAAGGAGGATAGGCTACAGTCTTTCTTTGCTAAAGATAGCCAGTAGAGCATTCCCTGTCTCACATCTCCTTCTCTTATTTGTAGCAAGGCTGGTAAATGAGACTTTCAATAAGAGAATTAACAGCTTCAGCAGTTTCACAAGTTCTGCTGATAACAGGAGAACCTGCTAGCCAAAGGTTGTTTTTACTACCCACACCTTAGCACTAGTCCTTGCTGTCTCATGCATCTCTTGTGTTTACTTTCACGTTCATCCCAAAGGAGTATCCTGCTCAAGAGGCTGGGATACTTCATCTTTTTGTGCAGGCATGACTGCAGTAAGCATAATTTGGTCCTAAATATTGTTAAAAACAGTTTTAAACAGTAATTTTCTGGGCATTCTGGTTCTGGCCTCCTTCCCACTTCATTTCCCTTACTAGCCTTTTTGAAGTCTCACCACATGGATTAAGTAGAAAGAATCTATGTTTGCACCACATTTTGAGGACAAGAGTCACAATTGTCATTCTAACAGCCATGGTGATTCTCAGGGATCTGTAAAAGACCATCCAGACCTCATATGAGCTGAGCTTGCATGAAGACTTAAGCAGTCATATAAAAGCTTTGGCAGGTCTCTAGATTGAGAGCCACAACTCTCTTCCTCTTACTTAGGTGTCATCATTTGGAAAGAAGGGCCTCATTTGTGCAGGATGGCTTTTCTTGGAAGAAGTTGTTGTTCTGCATAGTCCTTGCTATGTTTCATTGTTTGGCAGATGATAGCACAGAGGTCTACATGTCAGAAAACATTTCCTGTTTATGTATCAGTCTGGTCAATTAAAATTCAATTATACATTCATGTGACATGCTTTTTTCAGGCTTTTTTCAAGTGCTAAGTGCCAATGCAGTGTCAGATTAATCAGCTTCTGTGTCCCTTGAGAGATTAAGAATCTACTACAGCTGCTGGCTAGAGAAATTACTTATTTTACATTAAAATGATAGCAGTTCATGCTTTTAGTGTTCATTGCCCAAGGTCCAAACGCTTGAAATGGTTCAGCAAATCCACCTGCAGACTCTTCAGGAGTCCTTGAATTAAAAAGAAAATGTATAAATAATATTCTCTTATCTGACTGCAGTGTCAATTCATAGTATTTTCACTCCATAATGTTCCCCAGGAAACTACTGGCTAAGTAAAGGATAGACTAAGAAGGCCTTAGCTGTACACACAAGCACACAGGTGCAGACTAGGCTTCTGAGCTCTGATGTTACATCTTAATCACAGGACGCTGTCTCTGCTAGTGTTCTGACTGAAGAGAAACACTCTTGATCTCAGTCTCCCCTAAAGACTGTGTAATATTATTTACATGCAGGTGGATTGCTGCAACAGTAGTTGCAGTGAGAAACTCTGTGAGAAACTGCTTCTGCAGATGGGTGGTTTTGTACTCCTGGTAGGGAGTGTCAGCAGGGGAGAGGAGATATGGAGAAGAGTTGCATGGGAGGATGTGGGGTTCTGAAATCTCATACTATATTTTATAAACAAGTGCTCTTCTCATTATCTCCCCTCCCTTTCAGAAAACAAGATTTTAGTGGCTCAGCATCCTTTGCTCGTTGTAAGTAACCAAACTGCAACTCTAGTTTGCAACTACACATACAATGGGACAGGGAAGGAATTTCGAGCTTCGCTACACAAAGGAACGGACAGTTCAGTTGAAGTTTGCTTTATTTCATGGAACGTAACCAATATTAGGAGCAATTCGACTAAAGAATTCAACTGCCAGGGGGATCATGATAAAGACAAAGTCATCTTCAATCTTTGGAACATGAATGCCAACCAAACTGACATCTACTTCTGCAAAATTGAGGTCATGTATCCACCCCCATACGTCTACAATGAGAAGAGCAATGGGACTGTCATTCATGTGAAAGGTAAGCTGAGAAACCTCTGTAGGCCAATATCCTCCCTATACACACTCCCTACGTAATGACTGGAGGAAGTTTGTTTCCTTAAAAAAAAAAAAAAGTTGGATTGCCTGGTAAAACTACGTTCCTGCTCTGGACTTCATGAAGAAGAGATCTTAAAATGATGATTAATAAAAATGACACATTGGAACAAGGAATAAATAAGCAGAGATTGATGGTTTTAATTTCATGTACTTAAAGTTTTCTTTGCTCTTTCCTTAAAGAGACACCCATCCAAATACAAGAGCCTCAGTCTACAATTCCTTTGTGGATTCTGGCAACAGTGACTGGAATTCTTGCACTCTACAGTATGCTAATAACAGCAGGTTTTTTTAACTATTGGGTAAGAAACTTGTATTTTCCTTTTCTCTGTATGCTCTAGTAGTTCATTTCTCAGGCTATACTTGCCATGTTTACCACTAACTCACCGATACCCCTTCAGTACAGGATGACAGTGTTTCTTCATCCCAGCTATGTATGCACACCCATGGTGTACCCCAACAGAGCTGAAACACCAGATGCTCTCCAGGTGGGCTGTCAGGCCTCTGCAGTGGAGTCCTACAGCAGATTGTGATGCCACAGTGTTGGCAGTGCCCTGCACACCCGCAGTTCCGGGACACCTCTGCCTCATTTCTGGCAAAACCCTATGAGACTATACTGACAGGAGCTCACCTACAATAAAACAATCTATAGGGAGCCCTCAGCCCAGGACCATCTGCACTGGTGTCTTGTGTCTATCCAGCAATTCCCTTGAGCAACCACTATTTCTGGCATCTTGACTACAAGGGAGTAGGAGCACCTGGATCTCAGTAGCTCCTTGTCTGTACATCAACAGTAAGAAAGCTGAGACAGCCTTATGGCTCATAATTTTTACTCTTTGGAGAGTTGACTGGCCCAAGTTGCATCCAGTTCTCCTCCTGGCATGATACAGGGGCAGCAGAAGGACATTTTCCTTGACAAGTCTTAGGACTTGATCTCCAGAGCCAATTTACACTACTTACTCCATGTGAGAAAGACTTGAACATAGAGAACTCAATTCCTTCCACTCTGACTTTCCCCTCTATTTTTGTTGTTAAATAGCAATTTTCAACACAACGATTATTGGATAGCCTGTATAAAGGGTCCAGAGTCTCTGCCAGGTTAAATGTTGCATGTATACAGAAAGCCACTCAATGTCACTGCTAGCTGAAGCTTAAGATCTGCTAAGTGTTTCACAAAAGGCCACTTTCTCAATCTGTGGCTATTTCTAATGGAGAACAATCAAAGGGGGCACTGCTGCAGGAAAATGGAAAGGCCAGTTAAGTGGTTCTTCTTTGTGCCCTGTTGTAGAGGCTGACTGAGGAGAGCTGAGAGGATTACTAGAGCAGCTGCTGGTGTTACAGTGCTGTGCTGCAGACGAGATGCTATAGCTTCAAATCCATCATTTACAATCTGAACCATTTTCTCTGTGCTATATTCATTTGCTACCTAATGGCTTCACACTTTGCCACTAACACATCTGCCCCCAGCAAGGGTGACAAGGCTGCATTGCCATGTGTGCTGTTTGCTGCATCATTTTTTACCTGCTGTTATTACTGCTAGTAGTATTTTTCAGATAATATGTATTCTAATTGTGGATGTATTTAGAGTGGTGTTGAATGTAAATACAGCTGCCTAGAAGAACTGTGAATTGTAAAAAAGGTCCTAATCGTGGTACTTGACAGACATGGCAAGCCTGATCAGTTCCTGAAAGCAGCTAAAGATTTGTCTATTTTCATACAGTTCTGCCTTCCCTGAAGGAAGACTGCTTTCCATTGCAAAAGTAGCAGTCTTTCATCCTGTAACAGCCCAACAATCACTCATGCTAGCAAAATGTCTGTCTCCCATGCAAAAATACCTTCTAGGTGAATCAGAAATCCTGTATTATGGAGATGAACACAGAGATAAAGCTTTGTATCTAATGCTCTACATGCACTGACTGCATTACATGGCTTAAGCAGTATGTAACTCACATTCAACCCTTTGCATATACAGAATATTAATGTTAAAAAGCTTAAAATATTTCATAGTAACTGCCCCACTCTGCACATCCAACATAATTCAGCCATCAGATTTTCTAATGCAAACCTCCTCCAATTCCACAGCATCATATGCATGTATACTGCAGCATATGCAACTATTTCTGTCCATGGGAAGGGAATTTCAGTAAAAAGGAGATCACAAAAGAGGGTATGATCACTATTAAGGAAAAAGCATGGAAGCACTTTACTTACCCCTGATCAGTAAAGCCTTAAGCTATGTAAAAAACACCAACCTTTTGCACAGCCTGCAGCAGTCAGAGGCTGAAATGCTGCTGTAGCCACATACTTCCTCTGTGATTTTAGGCAAATTATTTCACCTGTCTTCTGCTACTCTTATTTCTAAAAGAGTTGATTCTTCCCTTGTCTCACAGGAGCATTATAAGCAGGAATCCAACAGTAGAAATAAGATTTTTGAGGCCCAGATTAGGAGACATAAAAGATTAACACAGCTCTGATTCTTTCACTCCTTGAAGGAAGGTTCAGAACAACATATGCCTTGTGTATTACTGCTGTAAATAGTACGAAAATCATAGTCTGGGCTGATTTTTCATGCTCTTATTCTGTTTGAGTTAAGCTAATTTCTCTTTACTTCCTAATAAATGAGGACAGCCTTCACAGCTCAAACTCTGTTTCTGCTGAATCATTCCACAGATGAGAGAGGCAAGATGATGGTAAGAGGCATCAGTTTGTATCCTTGGTGTGTAGCATTCCTTTACCTGAAGAACTAACACTGTTAATCTCCCACCAGATAAGCTGGAGACTTACTTTTAGGTTGGGCAAATTCCACAGATTACTTGATGAGAACACATGTTCTAATTATTTTGTAGATGTATTTAAACTGAAGCCGCCTTACAAATATGCCTGCTTCCCTGAACAGGGACCTAGGGCCAGAACTGTCAGCAGCTAACATGAGAGTTTTCACAGTTGTCTTCCCCCTCCTCCCACAGCAGAAATCCAAGAAGCGTCTGTACCACCAGAGTGACTACATGAACATGACTCCCCGGCACCCTCCGTACAAGAACAAGGGTTACCCATCCTATGCACCAACGCGGGACTACACCGCCTATCGCTCCTGGCAGCCCTGATCCCACAGGAGCCTCGTGTGCTTCCAGGCAGACACGTGCTCTGGGGCATGGAAGGAAGGACAGCCTCTCACCTTCTCATCCTCTTTGTTGCTGTTGATTACAGACACCTACACCTAGCAAGTGTTAACTAAACTTTGATCATTAAAAGAAAATCCAGACCAACAAGCCAATATAAAAAGGGGGGGCGGAAAGGGGGAAGTAAAAAAAAGAATTTTTCTCCATGATGGCTGAAAATGAGGCCCAGCTTGTGTTGAGGGTTGTCAGTGGATAAGATGGAAAGATGGCATCAGACCTCAGAGCTGGTTTCTTCCTAACAGTTGTGGTTTTGCTCAACTGTTGGAAGAAGCAGAACTTCTGATCTTTTCCAATTACTACTACCACCTTAGATTTAATCCTTAATTTCCTTCCCTGTATTTTTACTGTTAAACCTAGCAAAATGTAAAAAATAATATTTTTTCTCTGTAACACGAAGTCACAGTTTGAAGTTCAAAACACATGCTTAAAAGAAAAAGGTCAGTCAGAAGGCATCCAAGCTATTACGCTATGGAGCAAATGATCTGCCAGGACAAATCAAGCTAATAGAAAACTAGTAAACCTTCAACATGTGAGTCCTTAGGCTGGACACCTTGTAAATGTTCATAAGGCCATCTGCAGTCATGACCAAGCAACTCCACAGACCAAAAGAGCGAGCAACCTGAAGACAAAATCAAGACAAGTGGGAGAGGAAGAAAGATGTCTTCATCATGAACAACCCCATTTCTTTTTTGTTTGCCTTCTGCATCAAGGGAATGCAAAGTCATATATGAAGCATTAGAAACAGAGAGCTCAGATTTTGAGAAGATTTTTACTTTATTTTTAAATTTGAGATTTCAGAAGGTATTCTCCTGAGTCCTCCTGAAAATTCCTGCAGATCTTCTGGCACCTAGGTTGTACCAGAGCTCTTCCAAAAATCTGGGACAAGTTATGAGTAACTAAAGACCACTTAAATTTTTTTCCTGTAAGTATCTGGTTTTTGGGGTGTGAGAGGACTCTTCATTCTCAGCATTGTAAATTGGACATGCAAGTTCTCAGACATCTTCAGGATCTGCTCTGGGCACTTTGAGGAACTTTGTGTTACCTGGAAGTTGCTTTTCTCTCTAAAGATGTTCTTCAGGGCTGCTCCATGCCAGAGCAGGACAAAGTCATTAGCAAAACATGATCCATTCTTTCAATCTAGTATATTTACAATAACAGGACATCCTAAATTGTAAATGGGGTTGCCTTGGCATAAAATCCCTTTTCATACTGAGGAGACAATGTTTATTTTATAAAGACTGCTGAATAAACAATTTTAAAAAACCACATTCCCATCTTGAAATAAAATTTGGATTGTACAACATTTCATTTCCTTCAAGCTAGGATAAGAATATTCTTTCTCTCTTTGAGGAGGCAGGGTGAAAGTAGAGATGTGGAAGCATGACAACAATCTACTTTGATGTCTTAAGCCAAGAAAACAACTTTGGCACTTCCAAACTGGAAGGTGTTTTTTTTGAATTTGCTGACTGGGCCTCAGATCTATCACTCTGAGTCTTATATCACCATGAACCATGTTCCTGGAGGGCTGTGCCACCTCTGAGCAGCAGTGAGGTGCCCCTTGCCCCAGCCAGGGACAGCAGCATCCCGATGGCAGTGGCAAACAAAGCCAAGAGGCAGTGCTGGGTCTTCAGCATGAGAATCCAGTCATGAACCTGGCAGGCCCTGAGAGCCTTGGTCTGGTTCAGTTCAGCAAACTCAAAAGCTTATGATTGAACCAAAGAACTTCAAAACAAAGTCTGATTTATTTCTTCTCCTTTCCCCTCACCACATTGACAAACACTCCAAGGCTGACATTTTTCCACATACAGTTTTTTCACTGCACCTTTGTACTGCAGCTGAGGCAGCTAGGAGCACGTGCACAGAGCAGAGGGGAGGGAGCGAGGTACACTGGCATCGCTGCATGGTCCCAGCCTGGCCCTCTTTGCTGGCACTGACACAGGGATGCTAATGTCTTGCCACCTCCCTCCTTACTTGGAGGGGAGATATGAGTGATCCTGTGCTGGGGCACCCAGCCACTTCCAGCAGAGAGCAGCAGGCTGAGCACAGCTCTCTGTCAGGGTATGGCACCGTCTTGCCAATTTCCAGGCTGTCACTGTGTGGCACAATGACACAATGACATGCATGATCACATAGAAAACCACAACTTCTAGTACAAGTATAAGGTGAGATGGCAAATGTGTATCAAACCCACAAAAGAGAATGGATGTTCTTTGCATAAACTGCATACATACATATTTAGGTATAGATGCATCTATTTAATTGCATATATATTCCCTAGAGTTTTATTATACTTTTGGCAATCTCCTTTTAAAATTATTAAATAGATACAGTACATTAAATCTTGAATGAATGTATTAGGCCTGAGGCTAGTCAGAGGAAACTATTGCTTTCTAAAACAAATATTGGTATAATTTGCTTTCCTTCCCCTAACATTTTTGTACTTTCCATATTTAAAAAATACTGGTAGCTCCCACGACATGATACTGGAAAGTAAGACCTGGAACATCTGCAACAAGTATTAATTCATTCAACTGACCAAAAAGGAAGGGAGATACAGGGAAATATCCTAACATGAAAAAATGAGGAGAATCAGGACATGAGAAATCCTAGCACTGTGTTAAAATGGACATTGCTGTTACATCAAAGCTCTACAGGGACATGAATTGCAGACTGTTGGAGATGGGATACCAGCAAATTGCTTTTATCCACCACTGTAAAGGACGAAAATAAAGTGTTTGCAGAGAAGCAAGCCAGTTAAGCCTGGAGTCTGCACATGTGGATCAGCATAGTCGACAAGCAGCAATCATAATTTATTCCATCTGGTTTTAGGCAATGCATAACATGCCAGGACCGTCCTGTCCCTCCCTGGCCCTGCCTTTGGGGTCTATATGCTTTTTATGGGATGATGTAAAAAGAAACCTCCCTCTGCTGCAGCTCTGAACTTGGAAACGGTGCCTCATGGAGGGCAGAGGTAAATCAATAGGGTTTTCTGCCTTACACATAGGTTTAAATTCAAATGCACATATAATCCTGCCAAAGAGTGATTTGATTTTTCATCCTCCTTTCCCCCACTTTTGGGTGTCAGTGTCAAATGAACATCTGATCTGCAGTCATCACATCTGAACAGCAATCAACATATGTTGCAAGGGGTCAACCAAGGGTTGTGCAGCTCCAGCCCCCTGCATGCTGATTCCTGTTCTGCACGTCTCCAGCACAGCACAATACAACAGCCTGCCTCTTCTTTGCTTCCAGGAACCAAAGCCCTAGAAGACTAATGCCAAGGAGGTAGCTTGTGTTATCTCTGCAGTCTTGAACCTTCCCCATTGGGGTGGTCAGGCTTACTAAAGCCAAAAGTCTTGGATGTTCCTTCTAGTCTGAATATTCCAAATTCCAGTATCATCCTCCTGTATAACATTTTCCCCAAATGCCTCTTATTTCTTCTGTAGCTATAAATGTGAATCCTGCATCTCTGCCAAACAATATCATATCTTCCTTCTTTGTGCATCATCTTGTCCCTTTTGTTGCTATTCCAGACTCAGCAGTTCAGGAATCTATCCTATTTGCTAATCTCTAACACCTTTGAGCCTTCTACATGTACTCCTTCCTGACTGGTTACTTGCTTCACAAAGACTGTCTTGTGTGCCACATTCCTCCTCAGCTTGGGGTAGGGAGTTGCCATAGGAGATTGAAGCCATGTGGTGATTGGATAGGTACATGTTTTCTGTTTGAAGGATTTGGAGGGTCTTTCATCCCTTTGATTTTTCCCATCATCTTCAGATTTTCAGTTGTGCCAAACAGCCACGTGGGAATCCCACACACCACATGCTTCCCACAGTGCATTTAATTTCTGTACATTTCATTTCCTGTGCATAGCAGGCTCTTGGCTATGGCCAAGTTCATTATGTCTGCAGACATGCTCTGACAGCAGAAGCAACTTCGGCTACTGATGGTTTGTTTGACTAATAAAAACATGGTACAAAAAACTCGAGTTTTAAGAGCACACAGGCAAAGGCTTCAGTGCTAAAGATCAAATCTTTCCACTCTCAGCAAGGCTTTTGCTGTGTGACTGGAAAATGCGTTATGCAAGATGAATCACAGGCCAAGACATAATTTTGTTAGTCACTCATACTAACCAGAAAACAGGTTAGGGTGTTGAGAACAGGATCAGCTTTGTTAAGGTTTAGTAAAGACTGGGGAAGACTGAAAACAGCATTAAGCAGTAATTTGTAGCCGAAGTCAGTATCTTTAAGTGGCTGTGAGAGGGAAACAAGCTGCCTATCTTGATGCAAATGGGTTGTTCTTCCCAATTAGGTGCTTTTGTTAGAGCATCACATTACAGTATGCTACTATTCCAGCCTCGAGGGCATGCAGATAGTATGATGTGGCCAATTTGGCTGACAGAGTATTAGGAGGCTGCCAATTTCATATTAACCCATTTGCAAAGAAACAAAAAGTTGAATGATCTCAAATTAATGGTGGGTTTTTTGTTTGTTTGCTTTTTTCTTTTTCTTACCAGATCTTCAGAATCAAGGCACTGGTTCTTCCTCCTGCTCCTGCTGTTGTTCTTTTATTAAAAATAAAATATAACTTTAGGTCACATAAACTTACCAGGAACACTTCAGTTTCATTCATCTGACTATTGAGATTATGAGGAATTTTCAAATGTCACAGTTTTCATAGCCATTGTATCATTATGTGGCTACATCATTCCTTTTCCTTATTGTCTTCTTTTTCCCTCAAGGGAACTTTTCTGGATTGGTTGAAAGGTTCTCATGGGTTGGAACAAATCTAGTTTTTCAGACAGGAAAGATTACTACCTAACCAGCAAAATCAAAGATGCAAGCAAGCAATTAGTAACAGTTCTGTGGAAATTAACGTAGTGGTTTCAATCTAGTAGGAGGATCAAATAGCCAAAATTTTTATAATATCCTTTTCCTCTAAAATAAAGAAGCTTAATAAATTATATGCTAAAGTACCTTAAAAGACAAGAGATCAGGTTGCGAAATTAAGAAATCAAAGACAGGAAATGCCCGAAGGAAGCTTTCCTATCCAGCCTCCCTTCTGCCCCCTCGTGTGACCGGAGCGGCTCTCTACGCTCGCTGCGTTTCCCCGCTCAGCCGAGCCCACGCGAGCGGGGCCGGCCCCGCTGCCTCGCAGCGCTGCA